ATTTCTTTTTTTTATTGCATTTTAGGTTTGGGGGTACATGTGCAGAACACGCAAGATAGTTGCATAGGTACACACGTGGCACTGTGTTTTGCTGCCTTCCTCCCCTTCACCCACATTTGGCATTTCTCCTCATGCTATCCCTCCCCAGCTCGCCCCCCTGCTGTCCCTCCCCTAATAGATCCCAATGTGTAGTGCTCCCTTCCCTGTGTCCATGTGTTCTCATTGTTCATCACCCACCTATGAGTGAGAATATACCATGGAATATTATGCAGCAATCAAAAATGATGAGTTCGTGTCCTTTGTAGGGACATGGATGAATCTGGAGAACATCATTCTCAGCAAACTGACACAAGAACAGAAAATGAAATACTGCATTGCCTTATTTTTAACATACAGATACTTAATGAGAGAGCTTTGTAAATGTTTACAAGGTGTTTTACAAATAGATGTTATCTAAATCTCATCCTTCCTCCTTTATTGCAGTTAGCCCTGTTATGGGCACATAGTAGGTGTTTAGTAATGTTTCTTAAATTAAGTATTTCTATATTCATCTGCTCCAGCTTATACTTTTGTCCTTCCCATTGTTGTATATGACAGTCTTTTTATGTTTGTATCTTGAATTTCCAACTTGCTTGAATTCGGCAAGCTCCAGAGGGCTGTGGTCTTAATAACTTTGCTGTTTGCTTTTAAATAACACATGATAGCATACCAGCTAACAAAGCATGGCACAGGGTAAATTGTCTAATGTGAGTGGTTTTATTGAAAATGTGTTTTAGATATGTATTTAAAAATAGACATACATATCCTAAAAACGTGTGTTTTTAAACAGAGACCACTAAGGTAGGAGGGAACACCCAGGTCCCCATGAAGGGGACAAAGAACGGTGCAGAGGGCCTCATGGGTACTCCTGGCTGAGCTACACACAAAGGGATCTCCAGCTGATGGCCACTGGCTGCATTTCTCTGTGGCATCAGAAGATCTTTTGTTTCATCTCAGAGCACATTTCTTCAGTTTTTTGTTGTAGATTTTTGTCAGATGGTGGTGTGTGATTTCTTTTTTCTTTTTTTTTTTTTTTTGAGACAGGGTCTCACTCTGTCACCCAGGCATGTTCATGGCTCACTGCAGGCTCAACCTCTTCACCTGCAGATCCTCCCACTTCAGCCTTCTGAGTAGCTGGGACTACAGGCGCATGCCACCATTCCCAGCTATTGTTTGTATTTTTAGTAGAGACAGGGTTTCACCACATTGGCAAGGCTGGTCTTGAACTCCTGGACTGAAGCAATCTGCCCACCTTGGCCTCCCAAAGTGCTAAGATTACAGGTGTGAGCAACCGCACCTGGCCATGTATGGTATTTTTAAAGGTAAATACGGTTGTCATTATCACTTATCAAGGACTCTTCAATAAGGGAGAGCCTAATCACTAAGCTACCAGAACACACTTAAAAAACTTGATACTTCTGGTATTTAGCTAAGTGGTAAGAAGCTAAAAAGTCTGCCCTGCAGATTCCAACAGCCATGTTGACTGAACTCACCAGTTTTTTCATTGTTTTGATGTTGAACAATTGTCTTTAATAGACTTTTCTCTACTCCTGAGAATGTTCTAGTTACCATGCTGAAATGTTTAAATACCTACATTTTAAAATTAGAACTAAAATATAATTGGTTTGTTAATTAGGAGGACACTAATTAGGAGAGTTGGTGGTGAGTTCTGACTCTGATAAGTTGATCTTTTAAAAGTAAGGGCAGTTGCTCTACATTTGACTTTCTTTGTGTTCTCAAATTTAAAATACATGGCTCGAGATGAAAGATTCTGCACACTTCGACTCACTCACTCCCAAATCCCACATTTCATATTACATTCACTCAGGATACTGTGTGGTAGATATAAACCATTTTAGATAGTGCAGGGTACAGTGTGCACAAGGGATCATTTATTTTCCAAATTTGCTATCTATTATTAGACTTCTAATTACTTAGCTGGATAGAAGCAGAAAGGTCTCATTCTTGTACTAACTGCCAATTTTGGTTTTTTTGAGACAAAGTCTAGCTCTGTTGCCCAGGCTGGAGTATAGTGGCACAATCTCTGCTCACTGCAACCTCCACCTCCTGGGTTCAAGTGATTCTCCTGCCTTAGCCTCCCGAATAACTGGGATTACAGGCACGTGCCACCATACCCAGCTAATTTTGTATTTTCAGTAGAGATGGGGTTTCACCATATTGGCCAGGCTGGTCTTGAACTCCTGACCTCAGGTGATCCACCCGCCTCAGCCTCCCAAAGTGCTGGAATTACAGGCATGAGCCACTGCCCCTGGCTACTAACTGCCAGTTATTTAGCTAGAGATGACGGCAGAAGGAGTTCATTTTAGATAATTGGGACTTAAGAAGTAACATTTCTTTTCAAGAAGGTCTAAACATACGTGTTTTTTTTATTAATAACCCCAGTTCTTCACATTTTAATTATTCAAACAAAATCTGCAATTTAAGAAATATCTAGAAATGATTGGTCTAATTGCCATCCGTTGTGCCCACATGTCTCTCCCAAAGGAAAGTCAGGATTCACTGTGGTTATGAAAGGGATCTGTACAATATATTTACCTCCTGTAAAATATTTGGATTAATACTGTTAAGCATCTCTAGAGAACATAGTATTCAATTAGTTTTTATTTCTTGACATCTCCCACTAGAGAAAGAGCGCACACTTCTGTTTCCCTGAGGAGGTAAACTTGCTTGAAAAGTAAAATTTCCATGAAAATCTCTCATTTGGCTTTCTTAAATATAAATCTTTGTTGCATTTTAAATGTCTTAAGGCTAAGTGACTAATTAGCAGTAACAATATATCATTCTCTATTATTCATCTGAAAATTGTACTGTCTCAAGATACCTGAGTTTTGTGTGTTTTGATGCCAGTTGTAGAAAATTTTATTTCTTAGTAAAGAAGTTTCTTCGCTGTGGTTGGAGGGAGCTGCAAAGCTGGGGAGAGTGTGGGACTCACGGACCCTGCATGTATTTGCAGAGTAAGAGAATCAGTTTCCCATGGGATAAAGGGTTTATGTTTAAGCATTGAGAGTTCTTTGATGTGCCAGGTGCTATGTGGAGTGCTTTAGTTGCATTATTTCATTTATTCCTCATAATCCTGTGGGATAGTATTCCCATTCCTATTTCTGTGAAAATTGGCAATCTAAAGATGGATGAGGAGTGCTTTTTAATGAGAACACCCCATTTCCCGGCCATGCCAACTGCAGGTTGGCTCAGAAGTGTGGAGTTGCTGGGTGGAATGCTAAGATGAAATACTGTTTCTTTTTTTTTTTCTTTTATGGACTTGCAGTTTGAAACAGGCAGTAGGGCACAGAAAGTACAGGTAAGGCACCCGATCATGCTGTTTAACGCAGCTGATTTTAAAACGTTACATTTCCAAGAGTAGTCTTCCTCTAATAACTGCGTGTGACGTGTTTCATAACCACCCTACTTGATTTCTTCATTACGAATTTCTTAACACCAGCACCAGAGCACGACTTTAGTTAAAGCCATTTAGAGGCTTCCACTTTAAAAAATAAAAGTTGCTGAAGATTGAGGGTGGCATTTCCCCTTGCGTCCTGTGATAGCCAATACCTGAGAAAGCTTTTAATGCCCACAGCTGCAGATTATAGGTGTGCCCTTCAAAGGCATCACAGAAAAACAAAAGGGTTACCCACCAGTCAAGCGTTTGAGTCAAGCATGCTTGAGTTGAAAATTATATTAAGAAAAATGTCAGAAAATTACATGAAAGGAAAATTGTTCCATGAGGGAAATACGACTACTGAAACTCCAAGTAGAAGATGATGTTTTTAATATTCCCTTAGTTCCACATTTGTGTAGTTCTGTAGTGAAGCAAGTCGTTTAAAGGGGAGGTGGCCCAGGCTAAAAATAAAGTTTCTTTGAAACCAGATGAGAGTCTAGCTATGCCAAAAATGGAATCTGGACTCTATTCACTCTCGAGAATGTAAATAAGTAGAATTTTGTGTCACATAAAATAGTCTATGCAAAAAAGGATACTCACTGCCTTTTGTGATAGACTAAAATAACCATCAGGAGTATAGCTGCTCTGTGCACTTGAAGCAACAGTGTAAGATGATATGGGAGTCCAACATACTCTGATTTAGAAAGATGTCCAAGACAAAGAAGGCGCAGAACAACAAGGACTGCGTGATTTCACGGTCTGCGCAGAGGCAGGAAGATGTACAGTGATTGGTGTATTCATGCATAGAAAAAGAACTGGAAGAATCAACATGAAAATATTAGGCAGAGGAATGGAAATTGGAGAGTAAAGGAGGATTTTGGTGGGTTTACTATATATGTTTCTCTTTAAATTTTTATATACACACAAGTACTACAACTATAGAAACAAGGAAAGCAAAGCTTGAAGGTCTCAGTGAAACTGTATAGTGATTAAGAGTATAGATTCTGGAGTGAAAACTCCAGGATTCGAATCTCAGCTTCTTAACTTACTGGCTGTACATCCTTATACAAGTAATTTAATTTCTGTGCTTCAGTTTACTCAAATGAAAGTCAGGATTAAGGGTCCTTGTGTCCTATTGTTGTTACAAGGATTAAATAAGTAATCCATGAGAAAGCATTTAGAGTAGTGCCTGACACAAAATATTCAGTGTGTATTGGTTGTTATGAATTATAATACTTAGGTAACATCTAGCTATATTCAATTCTTTGTGCAAACGTTTTAGTTAAAAATGTTTTTAGTGACAACATTAGTGATTACAGTGTATTTTTCTGAAGTTTTCATTGTCATTGTTAACGATATTGTCATATTTTTTTTTTACCTCGTGGGTGTTCAGAACTTCACAAGGAAGAACAAAAACAGAGTTATCTGATTTTATGTAGAGTGCCATACATTCCACTAGTGGAGTACTCCTGAATTTGCGTCTTCGACCATGTAATCTAATGTAGATATTATTAGTAAACTATAGAAATGTAGACACATAATGAGGCTTTTCTTCATTCTTTAGGAAGACTATGACCGTCTGAGGCCTTTATCTTACCCAATGACCGACGTCTTCCTTATATGCTTCTCGGTGGTAAATCCAGCCTCATTTCAAAATGTGAAAGAGGAGTGGGTACCGGAACTTAAGGAATACGCACCAAATGTACCCTTTTTATTAATAGGAACTCAGGTATGTCCGGTTTGATTTTCTGCATTTTAGAATAAGCTCTTTGACTATATTAAGGGTTGCTCTCAGACAAATGGTCCCAAGGTTGAGCAAATGATGTAAGTGTTTAATCTTGGCTGCTAGTTAATGAGTTCTATCATATTTTTGGAAAAAATTGTACCAAAAGAAAGTAATTGTATTCCTGGGTTTTAAAAACTAAGTTCTTTTGTTTAATCTTTTTTTAGTATGTGGGGATTAAGTGGGATTACATGCTTTGATTTTTCTTTAAAGATTTGTAATATTATGGGACATTATTGACCTTTCTTAATTAGATTGATCTCCGAGATGACCCCAAAACTTTAGCAAGACTGAATGATATGAAAGAAAAACCTATATGTGTGGAACAAGGACAGAAACTAGCAAAAGAGGTAATGGAACACTTAGAGAATTTAAGCATGAACGTAAAAGAAGCTAAGATAACAATAGAAGCTAACACTTATTGTGCATTTATTGTATGCCAGGCACTGTGCTGAGTGCTTTACATGCATTATCTCATTTAATCCTTGCATGAATTCAGTGAGGTAGGTCTGTTTCCCCCATTATAAACAAGAGAGAGTGGAGGCTTAGAGATGTTAGGTAATTAGCTCAAGACCCTGCAGGTAGTAAATGGCAAAGTTGGGTTTCAATCCAGAGCCTGACTCCAGGGCATAGGCTCTTATACCTGTGCTACATAGCCAACGATATTTTCCTAAAAAGTCACATATAGAAAAAAGCATCAGAAATATGGGTCACTACTTTCAGCTCTTCTTCATGACTTAACCATGTGCAGTGTGCCAAATCAGGTGTCTTGACTCACTGAGTTAGGTAATGGAGCCACATAGGATAGCAGTTTAAATTTGTGTTTAAAACCAAAAAATGATGACTAGGTTTGAAAAGGAATGTATTGAAACTTCTCCAATCTTTTTATGAAAAAAGGATAGAAAGTACTAAAGTTCTAAAAATACATATGACAGCAGTAGCTTAACTTCCTTCTTGCCGCAACGCTAGGTTTACTTCTTTCCCATTTGGCCTTAGCAGTATTGGATTCTGTTTTTTAAATGTTGTGATTGCAATATGACTTTTGTGGAAACAAACAGAAACTATATATGGTCTTTTAAAATGTACTATCAGGAAGCAAAAGAAAGCAAGAAAACTTCCTGGAGGACAGTTTTTCCTAAAGCAAAAGATAAATGGCTTTACTAACAAATCACCTCAGAAATGCCATGCATTCAATTTTGTAATCTTGGGGAGAGAAGGAATTTCTAAATGTCATAAAGATAAAAGGCATAAATGAAAATAATTGATTTAACTGCATAAAAACTTAATACCACATCAGATGGCAGAAATAAAACGAAGTCATATAACCTGAGAGGGATGACAGACAAATGGGTTAACATCCTCAGTATACAGGAACCCCTTGCATATGAATTAATCAGAAGACACAGATCCCAATAGAAAAATGGACTAACAATGAAAAATTCACTCTAAAGTGCAGATTGCCATTGAAGATAGGAAATATGTTCAAGCTTATTAGTAGTCAAATATAAGCTCAATTTGCACCTACAAAATTGGCAAAAAATGAGAAATTAATTATAATACCCCTTGTTCCAAGGGTGTAGTAAATCGGACACTCTGTTGTACTATTGGTCATTGAATCAAAATAATCTTGACAATATGCAAAATCCTTAAAATCATGGACAGTTTTGATCAAGCAATTCCATATATAAGAATTTATCCTAAGCAAATCATTAGGATGTTGCTCAAAGGGTACAGTGTTTAGACAGGATGAATATGTTTTTTGAGATATACTGCATAGCATGGTAACTACAGTTAATAATGGTGGTGCTGGGTAGAGTGGCTCACACCTGTAATCCCAGCATTGGAAGGCCAAGGTGGGAGGATCATTTGAGCCCAAGAATTTGAGACCAGCCTGGGCAACATGGCGAAACCCCATCTCTACTCTACCAAAAAAAAAATTAACTGGTCATGGTGGCAAGAGGATCGCTTGAGCCCAGGAGGTGGAGATTGCAGTGAGCCAAGATAGTGTCATTGCACTTCAGCCTGGATGACAGAGTGAGATCCTGTCTCAAGAAAAAAAAAAAGAGAGAGAGAGAGAAAGAAAAGAAAAAAAAATAATGGGGGACTACATATTTCAAAATTGCTAAAAAAATAAATTTTAAATGTTCTCACCACACAAAATGATAAATATTTGAGGTGACAGATATGTTAATTAGGTTGATTTAATCATTTCACTTGTGTATGTTTATAGAAAACATTGCCTTGGACCTCATAAATATATACAATTATACTTTGTCCATTTATAATATTTAATAAATTATTAGGGATGTGCTTAAAGAGATAGCTACAAAGATGCTGACTTGTTTATAATGGCAAAAATTCCCTGCCTCTAGTAAACTTGACACTAAAATATCTGTTCACATTTATTATGTAGTTAAAGGGAATAAAGTAGTTGCAAAACAGTATGATCCCGTTTCTAGACCCATCAGCATTTGGCACAGTTGCATCCTTCTTGAAACTTTCTTCACTTGGCCTCTCTTGGTTTTTCTCCCCTCTCATTGGCCTCTGCTCCATCTCTTCATCTCCTTGGTCCCTGGTTGGAGGGCCCCACGGATGAGCACTGAGCTTCATGGATGTGGTTTCTTCTACAGTCACACCTCCTAGGCCTAAATGATCTTCTGTCAGTTGTGCGGCTTGAACAGTCTGCAACTGTAGATTCCTAGATTTCCATCTCCAGCCTGGACCTCTTTCCTAAACTCTCAATTTGGTTATTCAGCTGTTTACTCAACAAGTCCATCTAGGTGGCTGAGTATCTCAAAATTAACATGTCTAAAATATGATTCCTAATTTTACCCTCCAAGCCTGTCCTCCCTTTTGACCAGTTACTCAGGTCAAAAGCCTTCAGCTGGATGCGGTGGCTCACACCTGTAATCCCAAAACTTTGGGAGGCCAAGGAGGTGGATAACTTAGGTCAGGAGTTTGAGACCAGCGTGACCAACATGGAGAAACTCCATCTCTACTAAAAATGCAAAATTAGCCGGGCGTGGTGGTACATGCCTGTAATCCCAGCTACTCGGGAGGCTGAGGCAGGAGAATCGCTTGAACCCAGGAGGCAGAGGTTGCAGTGAGCTGAGATCTTGCCGTTGCAGTGAGTCGAGATCTTGCCGTTGCAGTGAGCCGAGATCTTGCCATTGCACTCCAGCCTGGGCAACAAGAGTGAAACTCTGTCTCAAAAAAAAAGCCCTGAAGTCATACTTGACCTTGCTCTTTCTCATATACCACACGTCTAGCTCTTCAGCACAACATACCTTCAGAATATATCCAGAATCCAGACACTTTTTTCTACATTTTCCTCTGTCACCTGATTCAGGCCTCCTCCATCTCTGACCTGCTTTACTGGAATAGCTCCCAACTCACCTTTCTGCTTCTGTCTATGCCCCATGATCATCTGTTCTCAACACAGCAGCCAGGGTAAGTCTTAAAAATGTAGGCCCAATCTCTGCTCAGAATCCTCCAGTGGGTTCCCAGCTCAGACTAAAGGCCAGAGTCCACACTGTGGCCTACAAGTCCCCATTCCCTCTCTGCCTTACTCATTGTTCCCAAGGCCTGCTGGTCTCCTTGCTGTTCCAAGTTCTACTTGAGAACCTCTGTATTTTTTGCTGCTCCCTCTGCTTGGAATGTTCTTCCCTATAGCCATCATTCATTTTTTCACTCTTTTCAGGTCTCTGCTCAAGTTTCACTTCCTCAGTGTGATACTGTTCCTTGACTTCTCCAGGCATGCTTCTGCATCAGGATCTACCTGCCTGGAGCTCTTCCCCTAGGTATCCCTCACTGCTCAAACTTCCCCATTGAGAAGCTTCCCTCGACCACCACTACCACTGTCAGCACTCCCCACCTCCCTCATTCTGCTTTTCCCCACAGCGTTTGCCACCATCTGCTCTGTCTTCCCTCTGGCATGCCTCTTGCCCAGATGTCAGCACATGTGGGTGCCACACAGCAGGGACTCTGCTCTTTTGTTCAGTTCATTGACCTATCCCCAGGACCTAAACAGTGCTTGGCATATAGTAGATACCCAGGAAATAAATGATGAATGAAATAATTTTTAATAGAAAGTCTGGAAGGACATATACTAGTATTTTAAAATCCCCTCTGGGGGATCATGAACATAGATGATGAATATATTCTTTTTGCATAGCTGTATTTTACACTTTTCTTTATAATGATGTATTTATGTCTTGCCAGTTATATAAACATGATTTTATATATTTGTGATTTTTTTTTCTCCCTCCCAGATAGGAGCATGCTGCTATGTGGAATGTTCAGCTTTAACCCAGAAGGGATTGAAGACTGTTTTTGATGAGGCTATCATAGCCATTTTAACTCCAAAGAAACACACTGTAAAAAAAAGAATAGGATCAAGATGTATAAACTGTTGTTTAATTACATGAGAAACATCTTCAGTGGCCAAGGAAACTATTTCTCTCAGAAAGCATATGAAATGCTACCCAGACCTTTTATAGCTAATGAAGCAGTTCAAAACTTGAAAGAAAACAAAACCTGTCCTTAGAATTCTATAAAGTTTATTAAGAATGTTCCTTAAAAGTCTAAAAGCAGTAACAGCATCTGAAGCCACAATCTATTATAAATACTTTATTTCGACTAGAAGGTACAATCTCTCAGGGGTTTCATAGTTTAAAAAGCTACAATCACATCATGTTGTAACTACATAAAAAACAGTGCTGTAAATGGAACTGCTTGGCTTTGACCATACACATTTCTGCACAGCCCTTACGGAATCTGCACAAAGAAATATCTCCCTTTGCTCCAGTTAATTGTTCTTGTATGTAAGTTGCTTTCTATTCCAGTATATCCAGAGTGGTGAAATAACAAGGCCAGCCACGTAGCCAAAGGTCGCTCCAAGCGTACAGGAGATGGGCCATACCTGAGGAGAGAATGTATGAGATCAAAAAAGAACAAATGTTTTATTATTACTTGAGCACAAGTGTAACCTAAATATTTCTATATTAAAGCTTACTGTGCTTTCTTAAAGAATGCCAAAAGTGTAATAAGGTCATAATTGCATTTATCATGAACACTAAAAATGTACACATTTTAGTTAATGTGCGTTAAACTGTAACAAGGCTTCCGGCAATTGTAGATTTAGTTTGATGTTCCCCAAAGTGCATGAGACACATGCTAAAATTACAAATTAAAATTCTGGGTCAGACTTTGCCATAATGCTGGACTCAATTTAGCTCTCTGAACTAGTTGGTAATTTCTTTTTTAAATTCCCACATTGGCTGTGTACATCAAATGAAATGAGAAGTGTGTATGCTGACCAAACCACAAGAAACTTTAAGTTGTGTTAAGGAGGAAAGACCTAGAATCCAAGCATGTTACATTAAAATTATAACAGAGCAGCTGCTTCCACCTTTGAGATATAGATGTTGGAACCACAGCAGAAGTTATAGAATGACAACTTATATACACACCTAGAATGTAAGTTAAACACAATACCAGCTTCCAGAGACCCATTTTCTCCAGCCTCACTCTGCTTAAGTGAGGTAATTAATGTTGATTTATTTCATCTGCAAGCAGTGCATGTGTTAGTCCCTAAGTGAAAGGCTCTGCTTAAAAAAAAAGTTGGAGAAAATTTTCCATGTTCTTCTGTGAAGCTTATTTGGTACACTGGAGCCACTTCTAATCTTTCTCTGGGGGAACAGGCCATAGAACTGTGTTAGAGGTGAACCATCTTAATTGCTAGTTCTATTACCTAATTCAGCTTCCTTGTTTGGTCTGCTGTGGATCTGCCTTATTGAAAATGCCATGCATAAGATAATGGTGTTAGACAAAGCTTCATTGTGAACCTAGCAGTTTAGAGAAACAATCTCATCTATACATTTTTTTCTAGACTTTCCTACATTTAAACTTGCTGTTGCCTAAATTATGATTTTTTAAATGTCTTTGGTGGACTTCTGTTAATTCACATAACTTGGGCTTACAGCTATGCCTATCGCACAGATTGGGTAATGGAACACTAAACTTTTATACTTGAAAATGACAGCCTTAAATGCTCATATCAGTCACAAATCTAGGATGTACTGTCTTGTTGTATGTGAGCTTTGTAGAGATTTTTAAAAATATAAGCATCACCTTCCCATTGAAGAGTGGAGAGAGTCTACTGGATGACTGGTCAGGAACTTTCTCTCAGAATCGGACATTTGGATGTCTTCTTTCTTTCAAGAAATGGTGGTTCACATTAAGTATCATGGCCTTATGTATGCTCAAATGGAATCTTATGTAACTTTCTTATTTAATTTTGGTCTGCTATTTTTAGATAAAATTGAAAGGAATTGTATAAATCAATTAACATATTAGCTAAGTTGTCCAACACATGGTATAAAAGAATTACAACAGTAAACTGTTATACATTTCTAACTTGCCTTTGGGGATTTATGACGATTTTTTGGGGGGAGGGGGTCAAGTACATCTCTCTGAAACCCTTCACACTTGGTTTACTAGCCATTCAAAGTTAAAGTCTAGAATTTGTCCTGCTCTAACAGAAATGGATTAGGAATTTGTCAACGCAAACTGGTGTCACCTATTTCTCGACTGAGCATTCGTTTCCTCATTAAACATATGGGAGGTAGAACAGAGATCTCCAACGTCTCTCCCATTTATCAACTCTCAGGATTCTCTTCTTTCTTATTCACAATAATCATTGTTGGACATTACCTTTTCAGTTTCACATTCTCAAGATGGTAAAAGTCATGTATATAGATTATCAGAACTCTAAGCAAAGATGACTGTCTCATCTGAACCTGAGGTGCCTTAAGTACTCTACTGACCTTGATGGGGTTTGGAGTTCTCCATTGCTTATCAAGAGCTTTTTAATTGCTTTGGTTCTTTAGTATTTCTTTTTACAAAAATCCTTCCTGCCACTTTAACTAAAAACCAAAGATTTGTGTTCTATTCATAAGCAGCCTATAGAAAAATTGCCTTATTTTCAGAAGCATGTCTTCATTAAAAGCTTAGGTTTCAATAGAAATTCAGACTAATCACTGAAATGACTATTTCAAACTAGTAAAATAGGTGGGAAATAAAATGCTTCAAAAATATTTTATTGGCATAAATTTTGCTAGTGAATACAAATACATTTCCTCAAATAAGGCCATATGTGAATGAACTTAAAAGAAATTTGTAGTTAATCATTTTTTGCATATAGAAAATTAGTTCTAAAGTTCTTAAAAATAAATTTAGGGGCTACCTGAAATCTTATATAATACTTTGCTTACACCCTTGTTTTATCTCCATAGGTACATTTTAGGTTAGCTCATAGTGAATTCTATTTACAATAAGTAGAGTTTGGATTCATGGGTTTTGTTATGAATTATCTTAGTTACTTCAGACACTGTTTCCATTTGATTTTTAACTATTTAAAATACCAAATTAAATACCAGTGTGTTGGTTGTTGCTTTTAAATGATTGTTACATTTACAGTGTCCCTTCCTAACACATGGGGTTACAAATAAAATACTATGCATAGTTTACTACCTACGGAAAGCACTGAACTTTTTACCTTAGTAGTTTTCATTTACTATCCTATGTAAACATTTGGGATAATACTCTTTCCTTTGTTTCTCTAGGCTGAGAGTCTACTAATCATTGGCAAAGTATGAGTCCCTATACTCTGTTAAAAAAAAAAAATGCTTACTCTTAAAGTATAGGGAGAATAGTAATCCCTCATGAATCACAGCTAGATTCCAATTTGGGTTACTAAATTGTATTTTAATCATTTTGTAATTTCAGTATGGCTCTTTATTCTCAAACACATACATACCACCACACACATTCTTTAAACAGCTGCCAAACCTCACCTCCAACAGAATGCCAAAAATGAAATGTTGGTTAAAAAATTTTGTCTAATGAAGGGTTATGGCTTGGAACACTTGGGTATTCATGTTACATAAATCAAGAAGTCCATGCCATCAGCAAATTAAAATGTTGGACTGGCTTTGAGGACTGTTAATGATGGGTCAGGCTTTGTACTTAAAAGAGTTTTTATCTGCTTGGCTTTCCTGAAATAAGCATTTCTTAATTTTAACACTGTCATTTTTTAAAAGAGAATTTCTTTATCTCAGGGCAGTTTTCATTATTTTTTAAGATCAAAATAGGGAAAAACAAAAGGAGGGAGGCTGCCCACTAAGAACTATTCCCCAAGCAATTTCTTACTAAATTTCTTCTGATTTTTATAAAAATTTTAAAACTACACTATGGCAACAGAATTCACTTGTCAATCCTAGCTTAATCATGTATTTTCATAATTAGATCCTAAGATTTTCCTTTAAAACTATTTCCTTATCTCACATACAGAAATGTTTCTATTCAAAATTCTTCATGCCACAAATATAATTTTTTAATGGTACCTATTAAACAGATAATTCAGCTTCATCGCTATAAAGATTTCTCCAACTTATGGTAATCTGGGATGGCTTTATATAATTATCTTATTTTGTTTAAAGAAAATAGAAAACTTAGAACAAACACATTCATGTAAAGGAAGTCATTGACACGTGTTTGCCACCAAAATGACAAGTTTTTTACAAAATTTTTTTAGCCAGTAAATAGAAGAAACAACTTATGCTGTATAATCAAATATATTACAACTCAATTACCAATAAGAAAAAAAATCTAGTGGTACAGCAGATGTTAAGTGACCTTGACGAGCTCATTTTAACATATGAGCCTCAGTTTCCCAATTTACAAACCAGGGACAGAAGTACCTACTATACTTAAAATGCAGGGCTAAAGTAATCTCTTAAAATTGGTCATAAAAGTACCATGTACTGGTATTCTGTATATTACATGTTGTAACTTGAAAAAATTAAACTTACATGAACACTAAGTACTTCTTTGGTCACAGACAAGTAATAAGTAGAACTGTAATAACCGTAATAAGTAGAAGGGTAGTAAGTAGAACGGGCAGTTTAGAACAAATAGTTCATGAGTAATGTTATACTGTGTGGTAGGAACTATTCCCTTACCCTTGCAAAGCAATCATCTTTAATACATGCTGTTCTTCACATGGAATGTCTGTTACAAGAGCAAACTCAAGAGCTGTACAACATACTGGCATTACGTTGGCCATCTGTAGCTTCACCTCAGAAGGAGGAATGATTCCCTGCTGCTAGCTGTCATTTTTCATAAATTTTAAGCAAAATAAGTACACATAGTGGTTTTTAACTAGTCATCTCTAGGCATTTTTAATTTTTACAGCCTCATATGAATTACTTCACTTGTTCGAAACTATTTGTTGAGGCCCTACCTTAATCCAGCAGTTAAAGGTGCAAACCAAGATTAGATTATTTAATTTGGGGTATATTTTAATATAAATTCTTAAAAATGTGTATTCCTAAATAAAAATAAAATAAATATGTGTTCCAAATAAATAAAGTTACTTATAATTTTGGGGGAGATTTACTCTGTCACAGATAATATGGAGAAACTGACCTATCTGCAAGTCAGAACACCTAGAGACATTTAGAACAACTCACAACCATTATGATTACTGTCTCTCTCTCCAGAAAAAAAGGAAAATAAAACCCAGGCAGCTCATTCTCAATCTCATGAGCTACTTTTCAGTCTGTCTGTCTTGTTGACTGTGCTTATCACAAATTTGCATTTGCATGACAGAGAGTACACCTTTCAAAGCCTGCTGACCTACTGGTTATAAATAATCATTTATATTCTCCAAAATTGGCCTTGAACAGTATGTTTTTCCATATATTCCCAAAGTAAATGCTATTGTCTGATGCAGGAATATATGCACAAATGAACCTACTCATTGGGATACATTTCTCTAGTTAAAAACTGCACTGATCCATGTATACACTCTCCTGTGACTGAGAATACTATTTTAGTTAATTTGTGGAGGGGTGTATAGTTTCTGGTCTGGAATTCTTGTCAAAATGACACTTAAAGGTCCTGGTCACAACTCAGGCAAACGAGTTAACTTGGCCAGCATTATTCTCTCTCATGTGGAAGTCCTATAAGCAGAGCATTATCAACATCATTACCCTACAATGAACACACCTTTTAAATGTAAAATTATTTTATGCCAGTTAAGTGTTAACACTTTTTTCTCATGCTTGAATCATATAAACTATATTCATATAAGTGAATATTTTATTTTGGTCTAAAACACAATATAATCCCTTTGGTCATGGAAATGCCAATTAACATTAAGACATACAGCTCTTCAATCAGTCAAATCCATAATCTTAGTTTTAATCTCCCTCCAGCATTTTGGAGTAATCCATGTAGTTATAATCCTATGATTTCTAGTTTCAGCTTATAATTATCTGTGGCATCTGTGACTTCAGGAAATGAATACACATATTTCACAAGTATTAAGTTTTTAACCTGGTAAAACTGGAGAAAAAAAAAGAAAACCCAAAGATTTTTAAATACAACAATGCCTCATTTATCTGGTGTCTGATGGGAGTAAGTACAAATATTTTAAAACAATTTTAAATTGTTTCAAAGACAATCTCAGGTGTCTAAAATTCAAAACTCCAAATTCAGTTATTTAAAATGCTTTGTATCAATTTTGCTTTTTACCTTTGTAAGAAATAAGTATCCTAGAAGAGGCTTATTTGGTTCAAATCTTTTTAAAGATTGTAGCACTGAAGGTCCATAGATTAAAGGTATGTGTGGATTTGTTAGGGACAAAAGAATTGCATATTAGCTTTAAATATTATCCCACAAATAAATTATGGCCTAAAATACAGATACCACCAGAGTGGTCAAGGCATTTAATGGAAGTAATGTGGGGAAAGAAATGCAATATAATAACTACTTAAGCTATTCCAAAGAGACCTAAGGTATGACCATTTTTTAAAAAGAAAAGCTATGTTTTAATCTCCAGCAATGAAAAGAATCATGGTGCATTGGGGCTGTCATGTGAATCTTAAATCTTCCTCTTCCCCGCTGAGTAATGCTAAGCAAGGTCTGTACTCCTCCCCTCTCACTTTGACTTGCTAGTGTATAAAATGGGAATGAAATCTACCTTGCACTACGGTTGTCAGGATGAAGTTATTCATATGACAGTGCCAAGCCCCATGCAGGGTACATGGAGAGATCTACAAATGCTATGTTTTCTTTCTACTGTCATCTGAAATGTCAGACAGGATTGAAAATTATGTGAAATCCACATACCCTAAATCGGTATAACTAAATACCAGAGAAATAGATAAATTAACAGTCCACCCTACCAACCGAAAGACTGCTGGGCAGAAAAAAATAAACAAACTGAGACAATTAACATATTCTCTAATATAAGAGAACTCAATGGAATTTGCATTTTTTTGGAAGGCTAAAAATATAGTCATGAAACTATTTCTTTCTCAGTCACAAATGCCTGTAACATTAATTATGCAATAAC